GGACAAGGCATCGGCAAGTAAGGTCTCAATGATCTCGGTTAGGAAGGTTAACGCTTGGCCTAGCTGTGCCACACCTCGGTCTAGGTCGTACCAGTCTAGGGACAAGATCACCAGGTGCAGGGATCAAAGATTTAAGATGTCTAGATGATGACATCTCGGCCTAGATGATACACATCTCGGCCTAGGTGATGCACACCTTGGTCTAGATGACTACATCTCGACCAATATGCTAGGGTGAAGGTGGAGGTCAGCCAAAGTGGTTCCAAAATGGTCCTAGGTGTAAAAGGTCCAAAGGCGTGTCCTAGGCTTAAGATGACCTCGGCTACGCACACCAAACAAGGGACAAAACGTACAAACAATACTCAAGCCAAAACACATAGGTACAAAATAAGAAGGAAACCTTACTTTAGGCAAAACAAGTCAAAACCACAAGTGCAAGCTTAACAAAACAAAACATGCAGATGCACATGAACATGACTAAGACGAGGATGAGGGTCACTACAGCCGAGCTAGCTAGGCATTATGCATGGGAATGCTGAGCTAGATACGAATTGTGCATAGTTGCGCTGAGATAAGGACGCCGTTTTGCATAGTTAGCTCAGTCTCAAGTTACTAGCTCTGTTGGAATATGTCAAACTAAGGTACAAACAGAGAAAGGAAGGACCGAGCTAGGCATAGCTCGGTCTAAACTGTCATTTTAGCATGGTAATACTAGCTCGATCATTTGGTCATACCATCGAGCTAGGACCATCTCACTTGGTTTATGCAGTGAGGGGTGTGTGAAAGGATAAACATTATCTTTCAAGAGTGTGATTCCTAAGAGGACTCTACATGGAGGAATAAGAGTCCTACTAGGATTATGTCACACGGAACCTATAAAAGCTCACAACATCACATGTGGACAGGTAACACAACTTTGATTCTCGAATACACAGAGCTTTTGTCTATTTGACTATTTTGCTGACTTAGGCATCAAAGAGGTATCCGACACACACCTGCTGGCTAGCTCACGTTTGTGTTTTCAGGGAGTAAAGCGACGACGTTTAGAGGAGCGCAAACTTAGTCAATAGGATTATATGAGAAGAATTATTTCATGCTCATACAACAAATGTATTGAATTTAATATCTAATAGAACATGGATGTGCATATTTTATGTTAATGCTTTGTTTTGGTGACATAAAAAATTAATAATTTATTGGTTTATTAATTTATTTGGGTCATTTCATCTCTTTACTTTTCTACATATCTTTGTAATAAATAAAATAAATAAATTATACCCAAGACAAACCTAATAATGACACTTGTTAACAAATTTTAAAAATATTAATCACACACAAAATAAACTAATTGTTGTGAATTATTATCTCTAAATATATTTAGGGTGAAACACCAATAAATTTCAAAATGTGATTTTATGAACTGTTTAATCCTTTTTTTTTTCTTATGAACTCAAATGTCCTATTAAAGTAAAAATTATATGAAATGGTAGTCACTTACACGTTTGGATTTTATTTTTGAAGAATAAAAGTGAGTTTCTCCAAATGTGAAATTATACATTTGGGTAATCCGGACTATAGAGATTTTGATTTTTTTTTTCTCATTTGCAACAAATCTCACATTACGAATAAGAACGTAACACTCTAATGTAATACTCCAATAACGTAAGACTGCAATATAACACATTAAATTTTTCTTAAACGTAACAATGTAACACTCCAAACTTTTTCTAAACGTAATACTCTAATGTAACATAAAAAAAAATTCTTAGCGTGCTTTTCTCAAACGTAGTACTCCAATTAATGTAATTTCAAACATAACACTCCAATATAACACATTAAAAACTACTTAGGCCTCGTTTGAGAACGGGCTTTTTTAGTAATTTTTTTGACTTTTTGGCTAAAATGTAATGTAAAAAAAACTAGGATGACTTTTTAATTTTTTACGAAAAGATGCACAAAAAGTAGAGAAAAAAAAGAATCTTTGACTTTTTTGTATGGATTATTGACTTTTTAATTTTTTTAGTAACTTTTTGACTAAAAAAGGCACTTACTAAACAAGGCAAACGTAACGCTCATAGTTTGAAATTTTACATTTACCCAAAATTTATTAAGAAATTTTTGTAATTCTTTTGGAATAGTTTAAAAATTCCCATATCCTTTTTATGGAGTGTTACATTGGATTATTACATTTGGAAAAAGTATAGTAAGAAATTTTTGTGTGTGTTACATTAGAATATTACATTAAGGAGTTTTTTTTGAGTATTACATTTGGAAAAAGTGCAATAAAGAATTTTTTTGAAGTGTTATATTGGAGTGTTACGTTTAAGTGTTATAGATTGAAACTGTATATTTGCTCAAAACTTATTAAGGAGTTTTTGTACTTCTTCTGAAATATTTAAAGAATCTCATATTCTTTTGAAATGTTTGAAGAATCTCATATTTCAAATAATTTTTATATTCCTTTTGAAATGTTTGAAATTTTTTTACCTTTGAAGTCATTCTAAATAAAAGGGATTCCATATAAAAATTCATTCCAAATGTGATTATCATAGGTTATGTATCCTACTTTTCTAACCAAGAGAGAGAGAGAAAAAAAAATATAATAGAAATAACGGTATAACAGTAAATATAATTTTCAAATATTATATTAAATCCACATTTTTAAAGTCAATGTGACTAATTGGTCTAGAGAAAAACTTTTGGAACTAATCGGATCATCATTTCTTAGTATGAGATTTATAGGTAAAATTTTCATATATTTATAGATATAATTGAAACAAGTGAAATATTTTGTCAAAATATTAATTTTCTTAAGGATTTGTGAGACATTTGATCCTTTATTTGATAGTAAATTTCAGGCCTATATCACAAATATAATATGGGTAATGTTAGGAATGCCAATTTTTCTCCTAAATAAATGATCAAATGTCTCACATAGGTATGGGGTCCGCAATTTTATGGACTCCTACACCCATGTGAGACATTTGATCATTTATTTGGTAGAAAATTTAGAAGGTATAGCATTTTCCATATAATATTCCATTTGTCTCAAAATGTTAATTTTTTTAGGGTTAATTTGGGATGTGAGTTGACTTTTTGGCTATTGCCTGGGTGCTAAAAAGCCTTATTTAGGATAGGCTTTTTGATTTTTATTTTTGTGAAAAAAAATAAAATGATTATGATTTAGATGTGACATTTTATCTTATTGATTTTTTATCCTATTTTGGAGTTGTAGATAAAATAAAAAAGTCAAAAAGTCAAAAAATTACTAAAAAAGTTAAAATTCTTATGCTATTCAAGGGTAGCTTGTGGGGGAAGCCACTAAGGCAAAATTTCTATTTTACCCTTTGAATTCAACTATCAAAAAAGTCAAAAAGTTAAAAGGGTGAAATGGTCATTTCAATTTTATCACAATATTTTATTACACATTTTTTCGTAAAAATTTAAAAAAATTTCCCAAACATGCACATTTTTTTTCTCTATTCTTTTAGCTAAAAAGTCAAAAAATGTACTTATATAGCACATTCCAAACAATCATTTTGTTTTTTTATAATTATTTTAGCAAAAAAAAAAAAACCTAAAAAGCCAATATGCCAAACAAAGGCTTAGAGAATTAAATTTTTTTGATAATACAATTATTATATTTTAAAAGTATTAAATTTCCAAAGCTACCTATTTGAAAACCTCAATTATCATAATTAATAAATTTAAAATGAGACAATAGAAAATTTATATTATTTTAATTCTTAATTTTTAAAAATAAATTAATACTTTAAAATAATAAAAAATAAAATAATAAACTAAGGGGTTGTTTAGAATGACCTAAATAAGTGTACTTTTTGTTTTTTTTTGAAAAGATATGCAAAAAAGTAGAGATGTGATGCAATGAAAAAAAAGATAAAAAGATAAAAAAACGTATTATTTCCAACTTCCCAAACTTGGCCTAATATTTTGGAACTAATAGAATAAGAGGAGTGATAGAGAACTCCTCCAATCACCAACTCCACCATCCCCATACACATGTGGCAGGTGATAATTGGAGGACAAGGGAAACAAGAAAAAAAAAAATATCTAACCAATGAAGGAGAGAGAGGATTATAAAAGAAGAAAAAAAAAAAAAAAAAGATATTTATTTTGAAAAAAAATTATTTCCTTTGTAGTATTTTCAATTAAAAAATTGATTAATGTTATTTTTTGTTAATAATAAATTTTTTTAATTGAATTTTAAAAAGAGTTTGGTTATGAGTGTTGATCAAAATTTTCAATAATGTGAAAGTAATGTGTTTTGTTATGAGTTATAACAATTTGAATTAAGTTTTGAAAACTCTTTTCAAAACTCATAACCAAACAAATTTTCTTACTTCACATGTCAAATCAAACTTTCAAAACTCAATTCTACACTCAATTCCACACTCAATTCAACACTTTATTCAAAAACCATAACCAAACAAATTTTCTACACTCAAATCATAATTCTAAAACACACAAACTCAAAATACAACTCATATTCTCAAATCATAGTTACAAAGCTCTACCAAACGGAGCCTTAGATTTTCTGGCGGAGAATTTCCCGCGAGTAAGGAAATTTTCCCACTAACCGCAAATGGAAGCTAGAGAGAGAAAGACAGAGTGCACGATAAAATAGCTGAGAGCGACATTCACTTCATGAAGCGTGGGTTGAAAATATATTATTTTAATAATTTTTTAATTTTTTTATAAAAATATATAAGATAAATTATTAATGTATTTTGAAGTTTGACTAAAATATAAATTATCTTTTAAGATTTGAAAAATTATATTTCATCTCATAAAATTTATATTTACATAATAAATTACTTCTTAAATTTATATTTACATAACAAATGAATTTGTTATGCAAATTTCTCAACTTTTAGAAGAATTCATATTTTAGTCGTTGATAATTTACCCAAAAATATATAAAATAAAAAGTTTTGATTTTTTAATTTTTAACTAAAATACATGAAATATATAGATGGCTCCGCAGAGCGAAGCTATCATCTGGCGACCATTCTCGAGTCTGTCTGTCCAACTCTAGAGTGAGAAGACTATACATACAGAAATATAGATATATAGAGAGAGAGTAAAAGAAGAAGAAGAGGACGACATCATCAATGGATCCATGTCCGTTCGTTCGTCTGATAATCGAATCGCTTGCTCTGAAACTACCCTTGTCCACTAAACCAGCCGGTTCAGGTGTTTACCCCGCAACGACGCCGTGTTACTGCACTCTCCGGTTCAAAAACTTTCCTTCCCAAACTGCCCTCCTCCCTCTCTCCTCCGCCGCCGCCACCGACACTTGTCCGCCCTCCTCCGCCGCCTCCTCCTCCGGCTTCCACCTCGACTCCGCCACCGTCCGCAGCCTCTCCGGCAAGCCTCTCACCCTCCGCGTGTCCGTCTACACGGGCCGCATGGGTCGCACTTGTGGTGTCACGTGCGGGAAACTCATCGGCCGAGTCCGCGTCAGCATTAATCTCGACGGGGCTGAGTCGAGGGTCGCCGTGTTTCAGAACGGTTGGATGAAGCTCGGGAGTGAACCGGACAAGCCGACCGCTCGGTTGCACTTGACGGTTCGGGCTGAACCGGACCCTCGGTTTGTTTTCCAGTTCGGGGGCGAACCGGAGTGTAGTCCGGTGGTTTTTCAGATTCAGGGGAACATAAGGCAGCCGGTTTTTAGCTGCAAGTTTAGCGCTGACCGGAATGCCAGATCACGGTGAGTTTTCATTGCCGCCCGGCGTATTTTAGCTTTGTGTCTCATCTAGTACTAATGTGCGCCCAAGTGATGGAATTAGAAAGAAAAGTAATTGTAGTATAATGTTTTTTTCTTTAAAATTTCTAAATTACTATCTGAATAGGAAATATTAAAAATAAAATGATAAATATGTTATGTTTTATTTATTGTTATTCAAACTAAAAATTAGACCCAACTTTAGCAATTTTAATACTTTGTTACTATATATTTTTTAATTATTAACTAATCATATCACTTATATATTAATTATTAACATTAATTATTAAGTTTAAAAAATGGACTTATATATTATTTTCTTTAATTTTATGTTCGATTATAATTTTTAAGCCACCTTTTAACGTATACACAGAGATTTTGCATTATTTTTTGTGTTTTGTAGGTAATTGTAAAAATTAATTAGTTTGTTTGATTTTGGTTTTTAGAAAATACTTTTTAAAAATTTTTACTCTTTTATTTTCTTATTTTTTTTGTTTTTAATAAATATTTTTAATATTTTAAACACACTTAATTTAAATACACTTAATAAGTATAATATTTAAGAAAATTTTTTTTAAAAAATTCTCAAATTATCAAAAATATAAAAAATTACAAAAATTTAGTATATTTTTGTATTTTATTATATTTATTATTTTTTAAAAATATTTTTACACAAATATTTTAGTATTTAAATATATTTAAGTAAATTACATTTAAAAAAGTAAAAAAATTATTTAAAATCTTAAAAATATTCACTAAAAATAAAAAAGTACGAAAAATAAAAAATTTAATTTTTAAAAAATTAAATTTAAAAAATTGAAACCAAACCAAATCGACTGAGTTAGATTCATCTTTGTTAGGCAATTATTACTTCTTTTTTTTTTTTTTGGAATATTTTTGTATTTAGCAAAAAAAAAATTAAATAAAAGAATTCTATAAAAAAAAATCACGTTATCTGAAAAAATCACTTTATCTAAAATACTATTTTTTTTAGTATTTGCCAACTTTTTTAGTAATAATTATACAAAAGCAAAAAAATAAAAAAACTACTAAAAAAACAGTGGACAAACGTAACTTATTAAGAAACTGAAATAGTAATTTTTTTTTTCCATTTTTAGCAATAATTTCTTTCAACGAATTTACCAAAACAGTCTATGATTGATTATGTCATTAATTCGGGGGGGCCATTGCGACAGTGCATGCTTTAAGTTTAGGGGTTCTGGTCTCTGCTAAAGTACGCATGTGGGTTTCTTCACATTCACATGTCAAGTTGCCTAGTTGGGCACCACCATTTTTTCTTTTCTGTTTCTTGATGATAAAATAAAAGAAAATGATAGGAAAGTTGACCTAACAAAGAGAAAATATAGGATTATAACATGTCAATATGGAAAATGAAAAGCAACACTTTTTGTAAATACTTGGCCACTTTGTCTAGTTCTTTCGTTGTCACCATTCCAAATTAATCAACGTGTTTGGTTTTGATTTTTAAAAAATATTTTTCAAAAAATTTTATTTTATTTTTTATTTTTCGTATTTTTTTTATTTTTAAACACACTTAACATAAATACATTATAATAAAATATAAAAAAATACGAAAATTTAGTACATTTTTTTTGTATTTTGTATATTTATTAATTTTTTAAAATATTTTTTCATAAATATTTTACTATGCAGATAGGTGCATCTAAAAAGATAAAAAAATTACTTAAAATTTAAAAAATATTTACTAAAACCAAAAAAACACAAAAAAAAAAAAGTAAAAAACTGAATTTTTAAAAAACTGAATTCAAAAAATTAAAACTAAACATTTCTTATCTTTTTTTATATTATTTTATTTTATTTTTTAAAATTTTATTTTGAATATTAGTCATATTAGGAATACAAAAATTTTCACATACATAAGACAGACGGAGATGTGGACTAGGTGGAGTCACACGTGAGACTCACATTTCTCACCTTTCTCATTTTGTGAAAAACTTCTTTGCTTTTAAGCTTTTTCTCAGAATAATGATAAGAATTTCTATTTTTTCATGATTCTACATTGAGAATAATGATAAGAATCTCTATTTTTTCATGATTCTACATTATGAATGGTTTTAATTATTAAAATAAATTTAGAATATACCTTCACAGGCTTACTATGCCTAGAAGGCACAACACCAACCCTGAGATTCCATTATCATACACTATCCAATATTTTAACCTATGTGTTACAAGAGTTTTGATAGATGTCAAAACATGTCTAAAGGTCAAAAACTTTCTGAAAAAATATATTTCAAATTTTAGGCCAATAGTATGGAACTTTGATTAATTTAAAATAACTCTCGCGTAAAATCCCCACATTTAGGAGAAAATTTAAGGATTAAATCTGGCACAATGTTGTTGTTGTGTTGAAGTTTGTTGATACAATTTATGATTTACATTTAGGCCTTGTTTTCATTCTCTAAAAAAGTCAAAAAGTCATTATCCTATTTAAGTCATATCATCATATTTAAGTCACATCACCTCTCTATCACATCACTTCAAACCTAACTCATATTCCTAAAAAAGTCAAAAGTGCATTTATTTAGAACATCTCAAACAATCCCTTATTAGAGTCGGTTCGCTATCTAAATACAGGATTCTACGCAAAATAGTTATGGGGTGCAAGTAGTAATCTCATCATGAACTAGTCCTGTGTTTTGTTATGGTTAAAAACTTTGGCCACATAATTCTGCAATCCAAAACCCATACCCCAGCACACTATTCATGCACTGAAGAGATTGATCGTTTGGTAGGGAAGATGTTTTGGACAAAAGTACCAGGAGATCCGGTTTCACCAAGTCCACTTGCCATGTTTGTTTGGGTGGACATGAACTTGGGATTGGACTAATAGTCCAATAAAATTATTAATTGATGTTTGATTAAACAATTGAAGTACGAACTAATTATTTTGAACTTGACTATTAGTTAAGATAGGATACATAATCCAACGGATTTGTAGTCCTAGGACTATTAGTCATGAGAATGCTAATCCAGTCCGCTCAAACAAACATAGTCTTTAAGTTTTATCATGTGAATATTTTTGTTCTATTTTGAAAAAACAAAGTATGGAATCTCAACTGTTTTATCCACAATTATTAATGACCACCTTACCACAAAATGAGTTCTAATTTGCAAAGTTATCTATTTGTTTATTTGTTTTTAATGACGTCTAGAATAATGATTAGCTTCCAATCTGCATATTCAATTTGGTCAAATTGACAATGTATCAAATCCCCACCAACTGTTTTTTCTCAACTACCATGGAGTCCCCTCCATGTGCACATATCTTGTTGCAATATTATGCTTTCTACTATGGCTTCGTTTGGGAAGTTGCTATTTTAGTAGGCTATTTTAGTTTTTGGCTATTTTAGTAGGCTAAAATTTTTGTGTTTCGGAAGATGATTGGATTTTTTATGGTTGGATGTGATGTTTGTGAGAGAAAAAGTGAAATGATTATGGGTTTGATGTGATATTTGTCTTATTAGCTATTTTAGCCTATTTTGTCTTTTTGTGAATTTTAGCCTAAATTAGGCTATTTTTTTTCTTCCCAAACACCCCCATATGTGTTGATATTCCTATTTGACCTTTTGCTTGTTTATTTTATTTGGGTAATGCATTTGTTGTGTTATTGATTTTGTTTTTGTTGTTTTTATGTTTTTAATGATGTCTAGAATAATGATTAGCTTCCAATCTGCATATTCAATTTGGTCAAATTGACAATGTATCAAATCCCCACCAACTGTTTTTTCTCAACTACCATGGAGTCCCCTCCATGTGCACATATCTTGTTGCAATATTATGCTTTCTACTATGTGTTGATATTCCTGTTTGACCTTTTGCTTGTTTATTTTATTTGGGTAATGCATTTGTTTTTGTTGTTTTTATTTTTCAAAAGCAGATCTCTCCCATCAGATTTTACTACCAACAACACCACTAGAGGATGGCTGAGAACCTTTTCAAGCGAAAGAGAAAAACCGGGAAGGGAGCGAAAGGGATGGATGATTATAATCCACGACCTCTCTGGCTCCCCTGTTGCGGCTGCCTCTATGATCACTCCCTTTGTGCCTTCCCCGGGATCTGATCGTGTCTCACGATCGAACCCCGGTGCTTGGCTCATCCTCCGGCCCCATGGATACTCCGTCAGCAGTTGGAAACCCTGGGGCCGCCTCGAGGCTTGGCGAGAGAGAGGGCCTATCTATTGCTTGGGCTACAAATTCGAGCTTGTTGCAGACACTGGCCTCACTAGTGGAATCCCCATCGCTGAAGGCACAATGAATGTGAAAAAAGGTGGGCAGTTTTGCATTGACAGTCGACTTCAAGATTCCGCGTTGAGTTCGTTGTCGCCAGTTCGAGGATTCGTGATGAGTTCAACGGTGGAAGGTGAAGGGAAGGTGAGCAAGCCTACGGTTCAAGTGGGGGTGCAACATGTGACTTGTATGCCTGACGCTGCTCTGTTTGTCGCTCTTTCAGCTGCCATTGATCTCAGTATCGATGCTTGTCGTCTTTTCTCACATAAGCTTAGGAAGGAATTTTTGCACGCGCAACAAGAATCCTTTTCTTGAAACAATTTTGTTTTGAAAATTCTCTCTTCATTTGCAGTGATAACCAATGAGTCACTACTCGCTCGCTTATGGTTTGAGCATTGAAGACATTTCCATCCCCCCCACCCCAATTCTTTCACCCTGATTTTTTCGTATCCAAATATTAGATTTTTTTGTTTGCTTTTGGGGTGAATCTAGTCTTGATTGTTTATTTGTGATTCTTGTTTCTTGTATTTTCTTGTTGGTTTTGATTTATAGTTTGGGAATTTTCTCTGGAAAAATCTTGGTACAAGATTGTTTTATGTATAAGTTTTTTTATTGACTGACTGAAACTGTACAGGAAAAATGCTTGGGAGCACTAATTAGTGCTCTCACTAATTAGGTGGCAGTGGGTCCTGCCATTAATGATGTGATGTTTTGGTCTTGGAGTTGTGTTTTTTTTTGTTTTTTTTATTTTTTTAATGCGTTAGTGCTATTAGTGGTGATATTTTTAGTGGGATGAATCATTATTGAACTGTACAGAGAGAAACCAGATATTGTTTGTTTATATTTAGGGCAAATTAAGCTAACAGCTCTTATAGTTTGGAATTTGTGTCACTTTCATTCTTGATTTTTCAATTGTAACATATTTATCCTTGAATTTTAAATTTTGTTTCAAATAAGGACAATTGAAAATACTATTGTTTAATTTTAAGAGTAAAATCGTCAATTTAATAAAATATAAATTAATTTGATAAAGGTAAATGTCAAAAAAATATTTTTATCCATTAATGATAAAATTATGTAAAATTGATAAAAATTAATAAAATTACATGATTAATTTTTAAAAATTAATTTTGCATTATCATCATCCAAATACATAATAAAAATTAATTTAGTAAAAAAATAAATGTCTAAAAGATTTATCAATTTTACATAATTTTATTTTTAGTGGGTATAAATAATTTTTAAAAATTTCAAAATATTTGTTTGATATTTATTTTTGTCAAATTAGTTTATATTTTATCAAATTGACAATTTTACCCTTGGAAAATCTAATGATATTTTCAATTGTTCTTATTTGGAATAAGGTTCAAAACTCAGGATCAAATGTGTCACAATTAAAAAGTCAGAAAACAAAGTGACATAAGTCCAAAATTATAGGGACTATTAGTGTAATTCATCTTATATTTTAAGTAGGTCTTGTATTGTCACTTTTGCTTACTCTTGTCCCATTTTTTAAGTCTCGGTTGACCACGTCACTTTTTAGTCTAAAAGTTAAAAAGTTATTAAAAAAAATTAAAAAGTCAACAACTTATATAAAAAAGTTAAATATTTTTCTCTTTATTTTTTGCACATCTTTTTGTAAAAAATAAAAAAGTTATTCCAAACATATTAGTGTTTTTTATTTTATATTTTACCTAAAAAATTAAAAAGTCACCAAAATAGCCTATTCACAAACGAGTTGTGTTTTAAAACCAAATTGCATCTCATCTTTGATTATATTATTTGCTAGAGAGCAATGTTACATTTACTAACAATTTTACTAAAAACATACCTATTCAAGCATCATTAGGTGATTAAATATTATTATTAGTGTGTTTGGTTTCAGTTTTTTGAATTAAGTATTTTGGAAATTGAGTTTTTAATTTTTTGAATTTTTTTGTTTTTAGTGAATATTTTTAAAATTTTAAACAAATTTTTTTTAATTTTTTTAGATGCATCTTATTTAGATATATCTAAATAGAAAAATATTTGTGAAAAAATGTTTAAAAAATTAATAAATACATAAAAATACGAAAAATGCATTGAATATATATATATATATATATTTGTATTTTTGGTATTTAGAGAATTTTTTAAAGATTTTTTTCACAAATATTATAATTTTTAAGTGTATTTATGTTATGTATACGTGTGTCTAAAAATTAAAAAAAAATTAAGTGAAAAAAAAACATGAAAAATGAAAAAGTAGAATTTTTTAAAAAGTAAATTTTGAAAACTAAAACCAAACTTATTTTTTTGATAACTAATTACATTTGGCCTCTTGTACTTTTAATAAGATTTTTAGTATGATTGTTAGTATATGTAAAATTATTCTTTTTTGAAAGTTATAATTTTAGGTTGTGTTTGGATTTTGAAGTGCTCACGGATTGGGTTGAGTAAGGTGGCACCTCATCTGCCATCCGTATGAATTTAGGCGAATTAAAAAAAATCAATCTATATCTGTTTACATAATTAGCGGATGCAGATTGAGCAACTTGTATGAGTTGGCAGGTGAATGAGGATCAGTTTGGTGTTAGGTTTTTTTTGGAATTATTTTTAATAATTTTTGTAGGGCGAATTACATTAACAGTCGTTATAGTTTGTGGCTCGTGTCATTTTGGTCATTAATTTTTCAATTGTGACACATTTGATCATAAATTTTACATCTTGTTCCAAATAATGACAATTAATATACTATTGCTCAATTTCAAGGACAAAGTTGTCAATTTGATAAAATATAAACTAATTTGACAAAAATTATTGTCAAAAAAAAATATTTTTGAATTTTTAAAAAGAATTTTTACCCACCAAAGATAAAATTATGTAATATTTATAAATCTTTTAAACATTTATTTATTTTACCAAATTAATTTTTATTATGTATTTGGATGATGATCATGTAATAAGTGTTTGTTAGGTTTTTAATGTGTAATTGATATATTTAATATATGAAATATTTTTAGTTTGAGATTTTTTTGATTTAATGGATTAGTTTAATAATGACATCAAAATTGTTGGTATATTTAACTTTTGAAAAAATAAAAACTAATTTAATGAAAATATAAACAACCACTCATTAAATGATCATAATCCAAACACTTAATAAAAATTAATTTGGTAAATAAATAAATAAATAAATAAAGGGCGAATTATACTAACAGTCCCTATAGTTTAGGGTTTGTGTCACTTTGGTTCCTGACTTTTCAATTGTGATACATTTGACCATGAATTTTGAATCTTGTTTCAAATAAGGATAATTGAAAATATCATTGCTTAATTTCAAGGGCAAAACCATCAATTTGATAAAATATAAACTAATTTGATAAAAATGAATGTCAAAAAATATTTTTAAAATTTTAAAAATTATTTCTACCCACCAAAGATAAAATTACGTAAAATTAATAAATCTTTTAGACATATTTCTTTTACCAAATTAATTTTTATTATATGTTTGGATAATAATTATGTAATGGATGGTTTTTAGAATTTTAATGTGTAATTAATATATTTAATATATGAAATGTTTTTAGTTTTAAATTTTTTGATTAATGAATTCGTTTAATAATGATATCAAAGTTATCGGCATATTTGACTTTTAGAAAAATCGAAACTAATTTAATGAAAATAAAAACAACTACCCATTATATAATCATCATCCAAACAAATAATAAAAATGAGCAAGGATCCCCTCCTTGCATCATTTCCTACTTGCAGGGCCATTGGGCCTACTTTTAGGCCCAATTTTGATAATTCAAATCGTTCATATTTTAAGATTTGTTCAGTATATCATACCTGTAAAAAATCAAGTTGATCGGATATCAGAAAACATGTGTTCGGAAAAATCGAATTAAAAACTATTTTTTTTAAAAATTTAATAAACAGTTTTCCGAACACATACTTTCTGATATCCGATCAATTTGATTTTTTACAGGTATGATATACTGAACAAATCTTAAAATATGAACGGTTCGGATTATCAAAATTGGGCCTAAAAGTGGGCCCAATGGCCCTGCAAGTAGGAAATGCAAGGAGGAAGTGCAATGAGAGGATCTTGACTCAATAAAAATTATTTTGGTAAAAAAGAAAAAATAAATGTCTAAAAGATTATCAATTTTACATAATTTTATCTTTAGTGGGTAAAAATAATTTTTAAAATTTGAAAAATATTTTTTTAATATTTATTTTTGTCAAATTAGTTTATATTTTATTAAATTGACGATTTTGTCCTTGAAATTAAGCAATGGTATATTTAATTGTCCTTATTTGGAACAAGATTTAAAATTCATAGTCAAATGTGTCACAATTGAAAAGTTAAAGATCAAAGTGACACAAGTCTCGAACTATAGGGACCATTGGTGCCCATAAATAAATGTTTAAAAAATTTATCAATTTTACATAAATTTATCTTTAATGGATAGAAATAATTTTTAAAAATTTTAAAATATTTTTTTGACATTTATTTTTGTCAAATTACTTTATATTTTATCAAATTGACGAATTTGCCTTTGAAATTGAGCAATAGTATATTCAATTATCCTTATTTGAAATAAGATTCAAAATTCAGGATCAAATTTGTTATAATTGAAAAGTTAAGGACCAAAGTGGCACAAGACCCAACTTATAGGGATAGTTAGTGTAATTCGCCCATTTTTTTTTTATTGATTTGGTTCTTATTTGGGCACATAATTTTTTAATCCTCATTTCTTTTAATAAAAATGAAGGCTGAACTTTGATATTTCATAAATAACTATAATTACGAGTTAATAAAAATGTTATTGTTTTTAATACAAAGCATAAAACATAACATCATTTTCTAGAATGCTAACAAAAAAACAAAAAAGTTGTCATGTTTTAAATTAAATAAAAAGACAATTATCAATGCATTACTATTTATTTTCTTAAGTAAAAGTTTATCATCACATCTCTGCCAAACAATAGATGCTCCCGGATCAAGTTGAGCTAGATGGCTTTCCATTTGCCATTTATCAAAATTTAGACAAATTGGGATAAATGTATTCACATTTGTCTGTTCGGACCATCAAAACCGTTCATTTTGTAGCAGATCGGTTTGGGCCATTTAGTTTTAGCGGGTCAAGTGAATACTTATCCAACCCTAGTTTGGATCATGTATTTGAGTAGGAATTTAGAAAGAGAAAGAAAAAAAATAAGTAAGATGTAAATAAAATATAGTTATATTTCACAATTTTTTCTTTTTTGCCTTTCAAATCTCTTTCTAAATTCCTACATAAATCTATAATCCAAATATAACCTTAAACTAATATCTTTTTATGTTAGGTTAGTGCACAACTCAATAGTACTACACAAATATGGCCATAAGGCTATATTTGTTTGGCGAATTAGGTTGGATGAGATTGTTAGTGAGGGAATGGTTAGTGAAGAGATTGTTAATGTGGGGATTGTTAGTGAGAGGATTAAGTAAAAGTGTGTTTGTTTTAATGATAGTGGGAGAGATGGTTAGTGATGGAATTGTTAAATTATTTTCATATAAAATAAAAAAATATATATTTCTATATTAAAAAAAATTCTAAAACAAATATAAATTTGTTTTACAAATAATAAGCTGCACTTCGGTTAAAAAAAAATAAACTTATTTTTCCAATCCCCTCATTATTTTTCCAATCCTGTGCTTTTCCAGGGAAAGC